CTATTCTATTGATGAATATTGATGAAAATAAGGTAACAGATGTAATAATAATAATAAAAAATTAACATCCAAATTGACTCGGAACTTTATCCCAGGATCATAGTACAGGCATTCCTAAATCCCGTTATAGGATGGCAGCAGAAAAAAACGACCCTGGACGGTACTTTTCAGATGTACTGTTGAGTTAAAGCAAAATTAAAAATTATTTTATTGTAATATAAAAACATTTTACACTTAAATTTTTATGATAATATTTGGAACCTTTACAAAAAGAATAATATAAGTAGATTTATAAGTCGAGGATATACGATATAAATATATAAAAGTTTCTAGTATTGAATATAAATTATAATTTTTTTTTTTTTTTTTAATGAAATATAAATTACTGATAAATATATTAATATATTTAGAATAATATACAACTATTAGTACAGTAGTTACCATTTATTATTTTCATCAGTTAATATTATTTTAATCAAAATAAATTTTAAAGGTTATGTTTAATTCATCAATGCATATAAAAATGGATGTTAAAACAGTATGCATAGCACAAAAACTGCTTTATATTTAAAATGACTACCCACATTTAGTATTTAACAGATACAATTCAGTTATTAAATATTTAGATTTTAATACATTTATATGCATTCAAATGGATTGATTTTTGCAGCATTATTTCCAAGGTTAGGTATCTTATGCAACGCGTTTCTTATGCCATTTGGTTCCAAAATATATATTTTAAGAAAATGGTTTATTATTCCTTAAGCGTGGCTGAATGTTATTTTATTATTATTAAGCATGAACTAAATGCATGTTTTAAATATATGTACACACATTGTTTGGACTTATGGTCATATAGGAGCAATTTAATTATGTTATTTTTTTACTTCTATCATAATATGCACTGTCTGAAAACTGCAAAAAGACATACACAGTCCACGGAAACATGTTAAGTATAAAGACAAATAAAAGTCCACACATTGTTAACAATTAAAGTAACGTAAATACTAGAATGCTGTGTCATGTTGATGTTATTCTGGTAATCATAAGCAAAATTAAAAAATTTATTAGGACACACCATTTAATAAATATGAAAAAAAAATTTTAAATATAAAAAAATTATTTATATTTTTAAATAAAAGAATTATTAAGTAAAATTGATTTCCTATACATCATTCGAATATAATGTGAGAAAAAAAATCTATTAAATGGAAAATAAATGACAACTACTGTAATTAAATTAAAAATAAACTGGTAAAGCGGGTAAATACATAAAATTGAAAGGTTTTGAAACTGTTTAGTACTTAATATATTTATTTCAATTACTTAAAGTTAATTTATTAAGGTTTCATAATTTTATAGGGGTTTTATTTTGATAAGCAATAATATTTTTTGTAATAATATGATTAATTGTTAATGAATTAAAATTTAAAGGCTCCATATAATATTTACATATTAATAATAAAAGGTAAATGGTCATGCATTATTTATACTAAAAAATAAAATATAATAAAAATATAAAATTGATAATAACTGATATAGGTAAATGCTGATAACATGAATATTAAAATGAGTAGTGTACGTAGTACTGCCATTAATTTATTGTTATATTAATATTATTTAGCACAAATTTGAATAAATATAATATAGTAATAGTTAATATATACTTTGTATACAAATTCAAAATAAAATCACTTTTAAAGGTTAAACTTGATTTCTCATATCAACATCATGAAATTTATTCTATGTACACCACTTTAAAAATCATTAGAAGTGAGCGAGCATATAAGTTTGGATCTATAAAAATAAACAAAGTAAAAAATAAGACAATTTATATAATATTGCAATAATATTTCTAATTAAACAAAATTAAATCTAATCCCATACCCAAAGTTCAGCCAATTTGGGTTTAATAGGACAAAACATGGTTTATAATAAATGTCTAATGATAATTTTTCAATATTTAGATTATAATATATATATTATTTGAAGGCTAATAATTAATAATGTAATAGAAGTTGTATAGAATATTAATATGTTATAAATGTAATGTTTTTTTTTTTTTAAATTTATTTAGCACATTATGTTTTAGTAAAAAGAGTATGAGAATGTTTATATATTTACCAATTACCAATAACGGGTAACAGCTAACAAAAAATAATGAACAGTTTTTCCATTTTTACGAAATACGAAGATAGGACAATTTAATACAAAAATATTTTAAAATATAATCTTATTTATGAAAATAAAATATACAAGATATACTCAAAATATGTACAAGAGATCATTGTGACCTGTCACCAAAACATACTGCCTATGAAAACTCAAAAACAAAAATTAAAGATCTATGATTAACACCTGCTAATAGCAATACAATTAACACCTTCTTAAAATTAAAAGCATAACTTATTTATAATAAAAATTTACTCGCTCACTTCTAATTAATATAATCTCTTTTAAACTCAAACAAAACTAAATTCAAGCTAAAAAAGATTGTGCATTAAATTATTGGAAGTATTCTTACTTATTCACTGGTTCACTGTGTACTGAAGACGTTTCTCTAATGCTACAATTTCCAGGGCTGTTAACATGAAACATGTGATTCTGAGGAGTATTTGGATAGCTATTCATTCCTTGTCCGTTGGTTCCAGGTCCACCCCAACCAGGAACATGCGTAACTAGTAATGGCTTTAAATATCCATTACTTGTAACAGGAGTGCTAATATCTAAATTATGAAAAAAATGAAAATAAAAAATATATTAAACATAATAATTTAAGATTTAAAGAATAGGATTACTATTTATTTCAGATAAAAATATAAGAGCGATTTGAAAATATCAATTATATGATTGATAAATGAGCATTAATACTGCAGTTTTTCAGTAAAAAAAAGTTGTATTGGAGACACTAATTCAATATTTAATATTCACCAACCTACAACTTGATGTCTATAATCACAAGAAAAAAGGACAAGGATAATATTTAATTTGATAAAACAAAATAATAAATAATTTAATGTCTTGACTCATAGTGTTAGATTTGACATTATATCATACCAAAATTATACTTGAAAATTAAAAAGAAATTAAACAAAATAATAGATGACAAATAAAAATTAATTGACAATTAGAACATAATTGTGAAGGGGGAGGGGGTCGCAACACTTTAAGATAATTAATTAAGTTCAATTTATAAAAAAACTAATATGTAACAATAAAAATATATGAATACTTGGAGGTTGAGTATAGTATTTTCCGAATGCTTGATTTTTATCAATATCAGGATATAACTTTGTGAGATATGGCAAGTCCAATAGTCTATCAGCTAAGTTTCGAATCGATAAATCTTTAGCTGAGAAAGGATGTAAACTATAAGCATCTGAATCATTGGCTGAAAAATAAACAAAAAAAAAAATTAAATTATTAAATATACTCATTATTAATCTAATGACATATATAACTTACAGCCAGCCCACGCAACAGTTAGCCCACCTAGTTCTGAATCTGAAAATCTTAATAAAAATGTACCCGTAGCATATCTTGTCAACATCTCTTCTGCATCAGACTTTCTTATGAATCCCATAATGGCACTAAACATTTTATATTATAATATTAAGTTAACATAAAATATTGTACATAGTTATTTACTAGTAATTACCCATCGGTCCAAGGACCTTTGAGATGTTCTCTAGTTATTTTCATTACGGCATAAAACCATTCCCAAAATGTAAAACTTCTTTGTGGCAATGGTTCTTTACAGAATTGTGACCATGACAAAACCATATGATTAAAATCTACATTTTGCATTCTGAAAATATATTTTGATTATTAGTTATATTAATAATATAAATTATTATTATACTTATCTATTTACCTAAAGGCTTTTTCGGCCAAAAATGTCAAGCTCTCTTCAGAGAGACCACGACCTGTAGCTGCAGAAAATTTCATGTTTAAAGCATCTGCCACATTTCTCCATGGTACTTTATCGGGAACATTAAATGGAACCCGGCCAGGTTCAGCAAAAGCATTATCCCAAGTTACAGTAGCCCAAGCATGAGGATCTTGATTCCCATGCACAATAACAACCACAGGTAATGACAAATTCCATACCTAAGCAAATTTTTAATATAACACACTTAAGTATTACTTTTTAAAATTCTTAATTGTATAAATTATATAATATATATATATATATTTTTTTTTAGGGTTAAGGCTTTGACAACTGAGGTCATTAGCCTGGGGGAACTGTAGGGKAAGGTACTGTAGGTTTTAAACACGTGGGTATTTTGGCAGAATTTTGAATAGGTTTCTGCTATGTTCGGTTGGGGGGCGGCGGCCTCTCTCTCCAGACACCGCGAAATGCCCAAAGAGCGATGCTCCACCCCCAATATTATATTTTCTGAATTATTTTTCTAATACATTAAATTCAAAATCAATAGACTACCTACAATAAATTGGAAATATTTTCAAAGAGCAGTGTGTTWCTATATTGTTCTATGTTTTTTTCATAGATTAACTTCATGTGATACATATTTTATTCTCTTTTTATTTTTATTTAAAAGCTTCAAAGTAAAAATGATAAGAAAACTTACCTCAAATTGAAGTTCATTACCAATGAAAAATTTGGATGAAAATAAAATTGAAAATTTTTCATCCATAACAGATTCTGTGCCTTTTTTTTCAGTACGCTTAATTTTCTTTAGTTGCATACTTCTATTAAATTAAAACAAATTATTATTTGATTGAATTATAAAAGACAGTAAATTAAAAGTTAAAATTTACCGGAAATTAGTTGACAAATGTCTCTGCACTGGTTGATATTCCATTTTTCCAGTGCAATTTAATATTTCACCACAAGATTCTCCATCAGGTTTATTTCTTCCAATTATTTGGTTTGCTTGAGATTCACTGACTATGGATACTTTAACCTAGTACATTTAATGTCATAACTATAGCTAGGATCTGTATTCAATGGAATGGTTTTATTAGCAACAATTTTTTACAAATTAGTTTATTTATCTATCTATCATTACATAATATAGTTAAAAATTGTCAAATTGTTTAATTTGCATATTTTAATAATAAGCAAAAATATTGAATTTTTTTGTGGTTATTTTGGAAGTGCAGTTTTAGAGGACAAGAAATAAAATTTAATACTAAACAATTAAAAATATCAAAGCATTCAGTTTGAAATACACTATACTACTGTAATAATGTTAGACATTCTGACCATAAAACTGTATAGTAGATGTAGTAATTATATTTATATCTCATCTTTAATTCATATGGCTCTGAAAAAAAATATGATAAAATGACCATGATCATCAAAAACCTAGCGATTACTTCTTGTCCGTTGTCACCGAAACTGTTAGAAATAATTTTTTCTTTATTCTATTCAACAGACAAATCTTTAGTCCCAATTCAGACACTTTACGTTTTTCTAATATCGAGGATTTAATAAATATAGATTTTATGAAAAAAATATAAACTTGATTTGCTTTTTTTTAACACCTTCATTTCAGTTGTACACCTGATGAAATTTTATTTGTGTATTAAATATTTTAAAGAGCTAATGTATTAAAATCTAGGAAAAATATCATTTTTTCACGCCTGTACCGAAAGTTTATTTTTAAATGCCAGTTAAAATATTGGAAAATGACTTTCCAGCATGGGCGCGACTAGGGAGGGGC